GCAAAATGCATTGGCATTTGCCCCTGTTGCTGGGGTATACCCGAATCTTGTGCATACATCTGCAAAAATATACTAGCATCGTCTAAGCATTTCTCCACAGTAGGGAAATTGGAAGAAAACAATTTTCTTTTTAGATTCCTTGGAACAACCCGAATTTTGTAATGCAGTCAAAGTGCTTTTCCAAAGTACTTTTGAACAAAACTATCCCAATACTTTTTCAGTGCTAGTAGATACTAAGTCAAAATGTCTTTACCTGTCGTTGTACTCCCATTTGTCCCATTGGCCTGCCCATCATGTGCTGTTGACCATACATCATCTGTAATCGAACACACTGACTGTAGTAAGCAAAATTCAAGCAAGAATAAACACCTGCTGTTGTTGCATATTTGGAGGTTGCCCGTATCCCCCTTGTTGACCAGACATTCTGTAAAGGGGAAAATGAAAATGAGCATAGATTACAATTATTTTTATACTCATATCACATTGAAGATGTAAATAAGCTGGCAAATTCGTAGCTACAGACCTTGCAGTAAAAACTGAAAGAATCAGAACTTTTAACAATGGGAGATTATTTGTAAGAAGAATTGCAAAAAGGCGCTCTCTCTCTCTCTCAGAACGCGTATTTCCAGCTACCGATTCGAAGCTAATCGCAAGCTTAAACTGCACTAAGTATAATCGTGTAAAAACTTAAAATTCCTGAATACTCTAGGATATATGCTATATAGTAACCGAAGTTTTATGCGCTATAATCAATGTCAGAACTCCTCACACTTGAGTGCATTGCTTGCATAACAAACCTTACATTGAAAGAAAACCCGCTATATGCAAGTGCACTTGAACCACACACAACATTTATAAAACGCTTAGTAGGAGTAGGAATCGTCCTGAACTTCTTTCTTTAACTCTACTCTCTCCAATCCTTTCCACTTCTTCCTTCTAATAAAACGTCACAGCAGAAATGTCCACAAATGGTTCTCAAATTTGTACCACTGGCGTGCAACAACATATAGTAAGAAAGAAACA